GGAAACACAGGGGGGGGAGGGGGGGGAGAGAGAGAGAGAGAGAGAGAGAGAGACTGCAGTTGAACAACGAGTCAATTCGCTGTTATCGATGTTCGACAGAGCACCTTAAGGAAGCGTCAAACACTCATTGGCCGTCTTCCCGGATTGCCATTTGCACTCGGACGGGAACGTTAATGCGAGGTTGATGTCAGGTCGTGATCTGTTTGGTGACTGACCACCTTTAAGAAGTGGCGGACCACCTTCAAGAAGTGTCAAGCAGTCGTTGGTGATGGCTGTGTATTTGTTTCCCGCACGTTATGAGTTGTCGCTGCGGATTGCCATTAGCACTCCCAGGGAATTTGCATGTCCGCAGCGTGTGAGGTCCTTCTATGGGATGCATCCGAGACGGTAATGTATCCAGCGGGGGCCAACAGTACTACATGTATGCAACGCTGAGCACCCATCGGCACATATACAAGCAATGGAAGTGATCACGAGCCTTCTGCATCGTTAGAAATGACCACCTTCACGAAGTGCCAAACAGTCGGCGGTCAGAGAACTCTAGTGCTAAAAGCATTCTTAGGGGACCTTGCGGTCGTGTTCAGAACTTATTGGCGTAGCACTAGATGCTCACCAAACAGTATTGGTTGTCGATTGTATGGACACATCATTTGATGCTTACAAGCAAGCAGTGGCTGATTCCAGGACCTTCTACCCGGTGCGGATCTTTGAGAGCAGATTTGACGCAATCCACCATTTAATCCATTCCGGCTAGGGGGACCTGCCATCCTGCCGTTGTGTACTGTACTCATCACGTGGGAATCGATGACGCGAGGAACCGACAATGAACACTCTTAGGCGACTTTGCGGCCGTGTTTGGAACTTATCGGCATAGCACTAGATGCTCACCAAGCAGTTCTGGATGTCGGTTATATCAACACATCATATGATGCCTTACAAGCAAACTGTGGTCGGATCTCGGCCCCCATCCCCGGTGTGGATCTATGAGAGCAGATTTGACGCAACCCACCGTTAGATCCACATCGGAGAGGCGGACCGGTCATCCTGCCGCTGTTCAATCATTTTTTGCGAACTTGCGTAAATGATCACTCTTCCAGTGACAACACAGAAGGAAACAATAGCCAGCATTCCAACTTGCAGATATGAACAAGCTGGCGTTGACAGCACAAAAAGCAATCATTTTGGCAAATTTGTGGACATGAACGGTTTAATCACAAATGAACGCGATTTATCCATTTTGTCAATAAAACAGAAGGCCTGTAAAAAAAAATAGCATTTTTTGCGAACTTGCGTAAATGATCAGTCTTCCAGTGAGAACACAAAAGATAACATTTTCGACAAATCATCCATTTTTGCGAACGCCTCATATCGATCCTTCAACGCCAAACACATGGGCCAAGCACACACATTTCGGGAATGGCACAAGTGATGATCATTTTGCCGAACTTGCATTTATGAACAAGCTGGCGTTGACAGCACAAAAAGTAATCATTTTGGCAAATTTGTGGACATGAACGGTTTAATTACAAACGAACGGCATCCCAAGTGCGAATATGTTCGCATTTCTCATACGGAAACAACAACCAGCATTCCGTGGAGAGCACGAAATGTATTCTGGGGATAACATTTAGCGCACCGTTTAATCCGTAAAACAACTTCAAGCACACATACATTCTGGCGATAATTGGTTTCCGAATGGAGAACAAGTTCGCAATTGTCATATGGAACCAACAGACAACATACAGTGGAGACGAGCAGAGGGGGGTTAACCGCAAGACGGGGCGGCACGCGCAGAACAGGGGCGAGCTAGAACATGTGAAAGCAGGGCGGTCAGGTTGGGGCGGGGGAGAGGGGCTTTCACACCACAAAGTCTCGCGAAAGAAAGAGATAAGCACGAAATAATTTGGCGACCAAGAAGAAATCGTTGATATCTTTCACCAATATCTTGCTAAATGAACCAGAGTATCGAGCCCCACGAGCATGAGTGTAAACAATGTCCACATGAGGACGAAGACATCCCATGAGTAACACAGGAGCACAACCTGGAAATGAACAAACACAGCACGGTGCTGCCGCGGTCGTAGAGGACATAAGGAGAACAACTCGAAAGCAAACAAAGGGAGCAAAAAGTTGGGATATCCACATCCGATATGTAAGCATCTACTCAAAAGATACTGCACCACGTGGCTGGGATATTTACATCGACATCTAAGCTTCTACTTCACGTAAGCGTCCGCTGCAACCCTCTAGCCGATGTTGCGCGACAAGCAATGAGAACAACCTGAAAACAAACAAAGGCAGCACGACGCTGCCGAAAGTCCTACGAGTAAAGATGACAGGTTCCTCCAAATGAAGAAACCTTAAAAAATTGCTACAACTCATCTAGCTTTTGGACTGCATACGCATCGACGTCCGGCAGGCTCCTGTCGGGGTTCATAACCCTCAAATGCTCCACCAGAGCACCTCTTGCCTTTTTCTTAAATGGACCCGCCCCCTGTCTGTTCATTCCACTCCACTTGCCATCGACTTCCTTTATTGCCATGACCCACTTCCCATTCTTCACAGCAGGTTGGAATATCCTCGGGTGCCAGACGACGTTGTGTCCCCAGACATCCTCCGACGTGAACCGGTGATGTTTGCCGAAGAAGAAGAGTCTGTCATTCTCCCAGGTATCATGGTCCCCAGGGAGCTTGTCACAAGGTTCGTAATCATAGTCTCTCTCTTCCTCCCCGTCATCAGACGATTGGTCGTCGACTCTTTCGCGCCCAAACACACGCTTCAAGCCGGCAGGGGACGTGCTATATCTCTGAGGACCACCTTCCCCTTCATCACCAACCTGTCCAACCATCCGAGGAAGTGGCATGGACTCGAAATCGAAGGTTTCAGAGTCGCTCAGCTCCTCCATGTCTTCAGCGTCGAAAGGGTCCTCCTCGTCAAAATGCGCCTTGTAGTTTTCGAGGGTGAGCGGTTCGACCATCAAGAAGTAAACGTGCTCCAACCTTCTCAGGAAATTCGAGACAGACTCCCTGGGTGCATCGTGGTACCCATTCAACACAGCGAACACCAGGTTTCTCCGTCGACTATATTCGAGGTCGGTCTGAGCAGGCGGTCCGGGTTGGAAAAGGAAGTCCCAAACCTCCGTCCTTTTGTTCCCCGACAATTTCCAATACATGTCACGTTTGGTATCCCAGTTCCGTTCGCCAGTGGTCTGGACAAAAGAGCAGTAATTGCGAGGGTCTGCCTCGGGTGTCTTCACGAACTCGTGAAGGTAATCGATCATGTTCGCCTTGTCCTCCAACGCGACTAAGTTTCGACCGTTGCACAGGAGCTCCCACACGACAGACACATGCGCCTTCCCAATGAAAAAAACAGTTTGCCCATCTCTGCAAAAGTTTTCGATTAGACCAAGTAGATGGGACGGGTTCCGCTCCATGTCCCCGTAAGCAGGTCCACGAACACTAGTCACGCCGCCGTCCTCCCACAGGCTGCGAGGGAACCTGTCGTCGTCCACCACGTTGAAACACGCCACAGCCTGTCCTGATGGGTCCGACGAACAGACAGCTTTCGAGCGGGCCGCCACCGCGTGTTTGCCCGGACTTGGACCATGAGCACGGGGAGCCTTTGTCGGGCTACTGGCCGGAAAGACTGCGGCTGTGTTGTCTGCCAGGTTCTCGCCATTGAAAATCACGTACAGGCGATCACACTCCTCAACCAGCATATTGCCTTCCCGGATAGTGGCCGGCCTTTGTGCATGGCGCACCCACTTCCCTATCCTGACGTGATGGATGCTAAGCCTGGCCATGCCTTTCAAGAAACTGAGCTCCCAACGAGAGGGGAAAAAGACCACAAGTGCCCAGTGCGTTGGCCACAGTGTTTGGAGAACGCCTTGCAAGTTAGCGAAATCGTCTTCTCGCCACTCTGTGAGGAGTGTGGGATAACACAAATCGAGGACGTACAAGTTGCACACGTAATGTCGCACAATCTCGCGGATCTCAGTGAGACGACTGTGAGCTTGGGAAGGCATGCAACAAAAAGGAATAAGGCTGGTCACCCGCTCGTGCTTCTCCCATTTGATGTGCCTCACATCCCCGCTGACCCTAATCGTGTCTCGAACTTCTTCTTCCGTCCGTCGTAAGATGGAACGGACGGACTTTTCGAAAGATTTCGGGAACCTGTCATCCTCGTACATTTTCCTGGTGTCGTCGAGGGACTCCTTCTCGTGCGGAAGGGTGCGTTTGCAAGTGTTCACGTACTCCACCGCACCCTGAAAATGCTTTCGCAGTTCGACCCACACCTGTTTCGTGAGGCCCTGCGGTCCGAGCTCCGCCAGAAGCAGCCCCTCGGTCTCGAAAAAAAGGGCTCCCGTAGCGCCAAACCCCTTCGTCCTCCTCCGTTTCGAGGAACAAGATGTAGTGGAACATGCGGACCATCATGCGGTCCACTTTCCTCGCCGCGACCATGTCTTTAATTCCAGGCTTACGTTGACGTTTCAGATGCCCGCCCGCCGATTGCACGAACACTCCCCTTAGTGCGAGAATGTCGTCGAGGATCGACAGTTTCTCGAAATCGGTCATGTCGGCGAGACTCTGCCAACAGAACATGTCCGGTTCCTTCACGACCACGAAAAATTTGTCGTCCGCTTGCATTTTCTTTTTGGTCGGAGGTGGCGGGACCCGGACCAGCCACCCCATCTTCGTTTCACCAGCCGCCCCTTTGGAGCCCATTTCCGTAATTGCTTGAAGACCCGGAAATTTGTCCGGCATGCGGCTTCGACAATGGCGTCTTCCCGTCGCCGCCCAACAACTTCCCCTCCGTCCATTTGTCGTAGAACTCCATCCCTTTGCGAAAAACTTCATCACCGGCCGTCACGAGCGGCATCCACTGCCTCAATGCATTGCCAATGGTAGCGACATGGTCCTTGTCGACTAGCGTTGCCGATTTGGTTGCCATCGTCCAGTGAGCGTCGTTCGGACTCTTTCCCAAAAGCAGCTTTTGGAATTCGAAAAACGTTGTTTTCTCGGCCTCCTTGCCGGAAGGGTTCCCTTGAATGGCCAGCGGCCTTCCATTGTTCTCCCATTCCTCCCGCATGTCCTCGAACGCGGCCTTCTGCGCACGCTGCTTAGACATCTTGTGTCTCGTGTTCTCCTTGAGACTGGCCTGCAAATACCCCGCGAATTCCTCGTTGGAGAACCAGACAACTCTCGCCGGCCACGAGTGCATCTTCCACAAGTCGAATATTGGCTCACCCTCCAACTCCTTCACAGCAACCACGGTGTGTTGTCCGTTGACAGGGTAATAGAAGTACTTGTCCTTGTCCTCGGACTTGAAAACATCTTTGTAAACCCTCTCAGCTTTCTCCGGCCTACGCGCCACCGGCTTGTAGATGGGTGCCAGAACCAAAGGGTTCTTCGTCCAGATTTTTCCCTTTTCCTAGCGGAACTGCCTTAGCATCGCTTCCTTGTCCTCCACACTATCGCGACTGAGACTGCGGTGGTTGTAATATCTTTCCCAAGCCGGGATGTTGCAGACCTTCCTGGGCTCGATGAGCAGTTGAATGGGGAGCTCCTTCTCCACGATCTCACCGTCGTCGTTCCGCTCGTATTCGAGCCAGAACGCTGCCACTTCGTCGAACTGCCTACCGACAGCCCGTTCGCCACCGCTCGCCGCCTCAGCAGTCTTCCTCCTCCGAGGTTTCTTTTGGCCATCGTCTTCTTCGACTGCCAGTTTCCTTTTGGATTCCTCCGAAGGTTCTCTCACGGCGGCAGCGCCTGGATGAGCCGAATCTCCTACACCCATAGCTTGTCCCTCGCGGATGGTCAAACCGTCGGGCCTCCTCGCTTTCTTACTTGTCGTCCCACCCTCTTCCTTCGACAGCCTCTTTTCGACTCCATGTTCTTGTCCGCCTGGCATCGCAGGCGCCCTCTTTCCCGAGGCACGTTCTCCGACCTCACCTCCATCCCCGCCCATCACCGACTCCGAATGTCCTTTCATCCTCTTCATGCGGCGGGTTTCCTCCGCCACCTCCGCTCGCACCATCCTCTGTCGCTCGCGCTTCTTCTCCGAACAAGTCGGCTCCCCGCCAGAGCTTTCACGCACAGCGCCCATCCCTTCAACCTCATTCCATCCAACCTCTTGCCCCGATCTGCCGAATTCTCTTCTCGTTCCATCTCGAAGCGAATACGTGTCGCCCTGGCAGCGGACATTTAGGATTTTCGGAGTGCCGGCCCGGTGAGTCCCTGCATCTGGAGAATGCAAGTGTGCTCCCAGGAGCATCCGGTCCGACCTGCGTGTGAATGCTGCGCGCGTGCCCCTTGCCCCGACCCTCAGTGTTGTGAATCGCACTCCCTCGCCCCACTGGCGTCTCAGGAGTTTCTTGAGCCAAGCCGGACGACCCCTCAATGGGCTGGCAGAAGCCGGAAAACATACTCTCGCAGAAGAACTAGACGCTCTTTCGGCACCTTCAGCGCGAGATCGAGGTATTGCACTAGAGGTGGAAGACGCTTGCAGCAGCCATCGTAAAGCCCTTTGAAGTGAGGACGAGCCGTACCCCGCGAAACTCTTGATGGGCACTATAACACCCTTAACACCTCTGAAAGACATTCTGCAGTGGTCGTACACACCGTTAGTGTGCAGCTTGAGCAAACCTCCAGCAATCTTGCCGAATGCGACGATGGTACCGAGAGGAACGTTGTCCGCTCCCTCAGCTTCAGGAACGCAAGTGGGTCGCATGAAAACAGCTGGCCCAACAAGGTTCTCCTGAACAACGAAGTCCAAAAACCATTGTGTTTCCCTTGTATGGAAATACGGAGAAGTAGATTGCTGATGGCCCAGCGCTTGTGGATGTGGTCTTTGCGGACGCCATTGAGCTCCCACCCGTTGACTAATACGCCCAACCTCAGACCAAATCGGATGACTGGGAGGAAAGCAACGAGGTTTTCCTAACACTACAGAAGCAAAGTGCGAACTAACTCGCCCTTGACGAAATGGAGGACGAAAAGGACGTAAGAGATGGGTGTTTGAAATGCACACGAAGTCACAACAATTGGGTAAAGGAGAGGAAAGACAACAGTCCTCTGGCAGAGTGAGTTCGGAGGGAAGACAGCAGCTCCACGGAAAGAGTGCGAATGAACTCGCTGTCCTAGAATCGAGGAAGAGGTGATTTATCTTCAGGAAAGTGCGAACTAACTCGGAGTTCTGGGAATGAAGTCGTCTATTGCGACCCGACTCGCTGCCCTCGAAACGAGTAAGATGTGGTTTATCGACAAGTGCGAAGGGTATCGACAAGTGCGAACTAACTCGGAGTTTTGGAGACAATACAACAATTGCAACCCTCAGTCCTGGAAGCGCGAAAGTCACATTTAACAAAAGGCGGCTTATCTTGGGGAAATTGCGAACTGACTTGGAGTTGTGGAAATGTAGACCTGAAAGACGCACGACATGGGTGTCTACAAGTGCGAACTAACTCGCAGTTGTGACTTCTCAAGCACTGTAGGTCGCAAACAGCGAACCGACTCGCAGTTGTGGATCACTTCCGACCTCGCTGGGATGGATGAACAAAACTCCGAATTGATTCGGTTATATATATATGTCAGGTCGGCGACCTCACAAGGGACAGGTGAGCGAAAATCGGGAATTGATTCGGTGTTCAACAAAAACTGGGTATTCATTCGGGGTTCACCATGCACAGTGACGACTATAAGTTGCGAAGGGAATCGAGCAGCTTTATACAAACGTTATCATGGTTATGGCGAAAGGTAATCGAGCTACGAAACGCGGATCGGCTATGGCGGACGGAGGTGGAGGGTGGAGAAAAGACATCAAAACACGTCCGTTGGCGAAACAACAAAACCGGGAATTGATTCGGGGTTCAACATGCGGCAACTGCGGCGTTATATCCTGCAGGTAGAGACAGGGAATCTGGGAATCTGTTCGGACATCGGACACAGAATAGGACAACTGAAGTTACAGAATCTTACCTTCGTCGTGCGTTGAGCGAGCGACCAACGTCGGAAGGATATGGATGTACGACCACCGAACCAGCTATGGTGGAGGGACATCGATGTAGGAAGAGCGAACCGGCTATGGCGAATGGAAATCTAGCCACGAAGAGTGAGCTACGGAGAGCGAACCGAACACAATGCGGCAACTGCGGACGGAGCGAAGAGCGAAGAGTGAACGGGCTATGGCGGAAGGAGGTGGGGGCTGAAGACAAAATATCAGAACGCGCGCGGAAGCGATAGCGCGACTTGACTTGTGGAGCGGCAACAAAAGGGATAGCACAAGGGTGGCAACGCCTTTTATACTTTCCTGCAACAGGCCTCGCGTCGAGATCAAGGTGGGGCCGTATCGATTCGCATATCGCACGCCTGGGCCCATAAGACGCCAGGGCCTATAAAAGGGTAAGGGCAGCTTGGGACTCGAAAGGTCAGAGGTACCAAAAATTCTCGGCCGTCGATCAACAATTTTGAACAGCGCAGATGAACGGAGCCACTTACATGCCAGAGGCCCCAAAATCTCCGTCAACTCCGGCGTGCAATGATATGACAATTCCAGAAAACAAGGGGCAGGCAAGGTCATTTTCGCAGTTGTAGTCTGGACCGTCGATCGGCATGATCCGACGCACGAGGTCAGGCGCAAGAATCCGGCGAGGCAGTTCGTTGCGCGCCGAGGCCAGGCGACGGTTCATTGCGCGCCGAGGCGCGGCAATTCGTTATGCGCCGAGGTCAAAAACACCGGGAATCTATAAGTTCCGGTGTCGCAATCATTGGGACATTTTGCAAATGTCAACGGCGTTGGATATACAAAGTCCGTAATCCATTCCAACGCTCGCCATTCACCATCGTCATCGATGCGCTTAGCTCATCGCCATCACGACCAAAGCTATTGCTATCGCTGCCATCGCTATCGCTGCCATCGCAGCGCTTGAGTGAATAGAAACGCGTTCCGTCGCTATCGCTGCCACCGCAGTGCTGGCCATCCCCCATCGCTATCGCTATCGCTAGCGCCATCTATATCGCTATCACTATCGCTAGCGCCATCGCTAGCGCCATCGCTAGTGCAATCGCTATCGCTATCGCTGCCATCGCTATCGCTATCACTAGCGCTAGCGCCATCGCTATCGCTATCGCTGCCATCGCTATCGCTAGCGCTGCCATCGCTATCGCTGCCACCGCAGTGCTGGCCATCCCCCATCGCAGCCGTCGCTCTCGCCTGACCATCGCAGCCCTGACAATCGCTGCCATCGCAGCGCTGGCTATTGTAACGCGACACAAAGCCATCGCTGCTACCGCAGCGCTGGCCATTGTAACGCGTTCCATCGCTGCGCCATCTTTCTCATCGGTACTCCATCTCTCTCCATCGGTGCGCCATCGCTCTCCACCGCAGTGCTGGCCATCCCCCATCGCAGCCGTCGCGCTCGCCTGACCATCGCAGCGCTGAAAATCGCTATCGCTCCCATCGCAGCGCTGGCCATCGCTATCGCTGCCATCGCAACGCTGGCCATTGTAACCCGTTTCATCGTTACGCCATCTCTCTCCATCGGTGCGCTCTCCACCGTAGCGCTGGCCATCGCTATCGAAGCCCTGGCCAGTGTTATCCCATCGCAGCGCTGGCTATCACTATCGCTGATTCGTTGGGCACCTTCGGGCCTTCGTGATCTCTTCTCCATCGCTGCGCGATTTCTCTTCATCGCCCCTGTGCGATCTCTCTCCATCGCCTCACGATATCCCTCCATCGTTGAGTGATCACTCTCCATCTCACTCCATCACTGCGCGATCTCTCTCGACCACCGGGCAACTTCCATCCCTGCGCCAGAGGCTCTCCATCTCTCCTGCGCGATCCCACCATCGTCATTGTATTGTTGTTTCAGGCCGCCGTCGGCGCAGCCGCCCATCACTGTGGAATCGCACGAAACAAGTGACAGGTATGCTTAACGAAGGTTTAACGCGATGGATGTCACTTTGATAATGGAACTGATGTTGTGCAACAACTAATCTTGGTCATCGCTGAGCCAACTCTCTCCAACGGTGCGCCATCGCTAACCATCGCTGTGCCTGCTCTCTCCATCGCTGCGGCATCGCTAACCATTGCTGCGCATTACAATGGCCATCTATGTCCTTTCTTCATTGGTGCGCCATCGCTAACCATCGCTAACCATTGCTGCGCGATCCCTCCCGACCTTTCTTCATCTATCTCCATTGTTGCGCTATCTTTCCCAATCTATCTCCATCGCTGCAATATCTTTCCCAATCTATCTCCACCGCCGTGCCATCTATGTCCTTCTCTCTCCTTCGGTGCGCCATCTTTCTCCATTGATGTGCCATCGCTAACCATCGATGCGCCTGCTATCTCCATTGCTGCGCCATGTTTCTCCATTGGTGCGCAATCTCTCTCCCTCGCCGCGACATCTCTCTCAATCAATTCGTGATCTCTTTCCCTTCCTGCGCCATCTACCTTCTTCCCCGGAATAAACAACGCACGATCTGTGGTTCGTACTACATGCAGAACAAGCCGGAAACAACTCGCACTTGTACTCGCAGTTTCGTAATGGAAATGCTCGTTTGCAAGTGCGAATTCATTCGCTCTTGAACCAACCAGCCCCCTAAATTTGTTACTGTTTAGTCGATAAGTC